CCAACTTCACAATTTTGTGCATTTTTGGTCCCTTTTCACTCCTTTTGCCTTGTTCTATTCCATGAATGATTTTTGGCCTACAAAAGCAGATATTACCTAATTGTGAGTAAAAATCCACTCATTTAATCAATAATTAGCTTGTTTAGGTATTAAATAAGTGTGCAAAAATCAGTGTTCTAAAATGCGTAATGCGTTGCGAAGCGTCGAGGCCGAGAATCAAGAATCACAAGTTTAGGCGTGTCAATGCGAAGAATAAGCGTCATAATGCGTTTCGTATTTTTAAGGCATTAAATATATTTTTATATAAAAAAAATAGATTTTTTAATATATAAAAAAAACAGATTAAAAAAAAGGGGGGGATCAGACGGACTAATGCGCGCCTAGGAGCGCCTTTTAGTTGGAAAACGCATTTTTCCCGCATTTCACGAATTCGACCCGTTTTGGTCTCCCGTCGCGCCTAGGCGGCGCGTTTTCCCCTTTTTTAGAACAATGGCAAAAACACACTTATCACAAGGTCTTGTGCGACCGCATGGAAGTTCTACCATGCGGCCGCATGGGTATACTTTTTTTTTCCCATCAGACAGATTTCTGTATTTGGGTCATTTCTTTCTCTCTCGATATTCGATTGAGGTGATTCAAAATGCGTTGAAAAGCTTGATTAAAGGGATACAAATCTTCCAGAAATATAAATCTTCAAATTCGAATGTCTTCTATGCCAAAAATGTGTCTCAAATTAAGACCGAAAATTCGAAGTATAACTTTTTCTGCTGGAATTTGATATGTGATAGTACTTCAACTATATTTCATCCATTTGGCTTCTTTTCTCATCCAATTGATGCCCAACACTTTCAAATCTTCATCGCGAGATTGACACAACTTTTCAGTATTTGCACTTGAGTTCTCAAACTTTGATTTTGCTTCATTTTAGTCATTTTTCGCATTCTTCTCCTACTTTTCTCCGTATTCATCATTGGTGTCCTACAAAACACTAATTATATCGAATTAAGCTATATTCCACACATTTATTAACAATTATCCATGTTTGTGGCCACAATAAGTGTGTAAAAACGCACTTATCAACAAGCATATGAAAAACATATGCGTACATTTTAGAACATTGAGTATAAATATCAATTCAAGTATTTATTGAACTTTCATATGCTAGACCATCTAAAATAAAATAAATCGAGCTACATATGAAGAATACATTAATACACTCCTTGTAAACATCAAGTTTAGCTAAAAAGTTACTTAAATTTACTTCTTTAACTTTTTATTTCGAAATATACTTAACACGGAAAATGAATTATTTGGGTGCAGTTAGGGGGAGGTGCAACCACAGATAGCGTAACTACAGCCAACAATGACCTCTCTTCGCCATTCATGAATTTACTAGAAACCAACATTGATACCAACTTTGCTCTCCCATGACTAATACTTCAATACTTACACCAGCTATAGATCTAACTTCTACTCAGATTTTGGGTCAGTGGTTCAATCATTAACACTGTATTTGGACCTATGGGTTGCACCGTCTCAGTGTTATAATTTTTCAATAAAAATATATTTATCATGTGAATGGTGACGACAATTATAAAAGTAGAAGGTATGACATTAAGACTAATAAATAGATTTAAGTAGGATTCACCCACCTTATGGCTTATAAATAATTGTGACTTTGCTATTATAGGCAATAAATCAAGGCCGAAAACCTCGAATCTCGATGAATTTCTTTTGTGAAGAAAATTAATACAAGTATGATGCTTAATCGTGGCTAGGTTCATTGGATGTGACGTTCAAACAATTTTTGTCGAGAGTAGAGATTTTCTATTACACGGAAATAATGATGCAGGGGAACTACGCAAATGAATAATACATCGAAACGTTTGTTGATTCGTAAAATTCGAGAATAGTACGTTGATACCATATAATCGATTAAAAAAAATGAGAATAAACTCAAAATCTTATTTTAATTCTATAATCAAACCTAATATATTGTGATATTAATATAGACCCACTCATCTTGTTAATAAATTTTGTTTCTGATTGGATAATTTTTAGCTTATAATCAGTCTCATGTTTTATTGGGTTAGGTACAATAAAGGTCACTAACTCTGAGCCAAGTTTCATTTTAGCCATTTCTCTATATACACATTAATTCCCAATTGAGAAATCATCATGGTTTTCAACTTGTAAAAATTAAATATCATGTAACATGAAAACACATTAGAAATAACATTTCAATAACATGAATTTCTTGTTAAATCTTAGCCCTTGTTTGTTTGGTTCAGATAAAAATCAAATTTCTAGTAAATTTTAATAACAATGACGAAATATGTAATTTAAAAGTTGATAAAAGTTGTGGCTTGTGGTACCTATGAAACGTATGATTGAGAACGAGTTTAAGAAAAAAAATGAATTTTTGAGAAACAACGACCAAATAGAGAGGCTTAAAAAGCACATGTTTGAATCACTATCCTAAAAATTTGAGTCGCTAAAGTAAATTATCAGTAATCACATATTTCATCAGTTTTTATCAAAATCCATTAAAAATATGATTTTTAGTCAAACTAAATGAGTGTTTAATAAATTTTGATAAAAGTCAATGAAATGGTGGACGATTGTGGTCGTCAAAATGGATCGAACCGTTCACAAATTGATCCGACACTTGACAGTCCTGCAACTAGACCTAGCTAAGCTGATAAATAATAATGAAAGAAAGAATACGTTACATACTTGTACTTTGACACTGTCAAAGTCAACGTTATTCTTGTTCAGTTCAGTCGTACTCAACAGTACTGTCCATCTCTTCTTCTTCTCCAGACACGCCATTAATCGTCTCCCGGACTTCTAACACACCATTTTCGAGTCTTTTAAGGATTTTATTGTGAATTTATTTTTCTCTTGAAATGACTTCAAAAACCCTAGAAGCCAAGGCTGGAGGCTTGATTGATGGGGGTCCGAAAGTGGGTTCTGGAAGTGAACCGGCTTCGGAGGGGAAGGGGAGCTCTAGGGCTGAGATTGACACCTCGGCGCCGTTCGAATCGGTGAAGGAGGCGGCGAGTCGATTCGGTGGGATGGGTTTTTGGAAACCCACCTCTCATAAGCCCTCTGAACATGTCCATGAGGTTTCTCTCTACCACCTTCTCTCTCTCCTACACACACTCGATGTGATGAGTTACAGTGTGCCATTTCTTTTGATTCCTGCATTGTGGGTTGTTACTAAGGGTCCATTTAATAGACAATGGTGGAAATGAATTCCAATTTCACATTAGTTGGAAAATTAAAACCCTCCAAATCCACAGAATTCGTTTCCATAAATCAAAGAAAATGCAGTTTAAAATGGTTCTATCTTGAAATTCGATTTTCATTTTCAAGTTGCAATCAAACATCCAAATTGGAATTCGTTTTCATGGAACGTGACATTTTTCATGGAATTCGTTGTAATGAAGTAGTGTGAGGTGATTATAATTACTAATTCATTATTTTTATGCATTCCAATAATGGCTATATTTTAGTCATGTATACTTCTGCACTAATTGTATTTATTATTATTACTTATTTACTGTTTTTTCAGAGATATTTTTTGAATATTTTTGTACTTGCTTTCAGTTAATCCTTTCAAAATTTATTTTGGGGTGAAGGGGGTTTACCTCAGTATATTGCTAAAAGTATGGTGATTTACATTTATCGTTCATGGATTTATGCTTCTTGCACTTGGCCAAATATGTTATGGAGTCGAATGCTCTCTCTGTTTTGAATTAACTGCGATGCTCTACATTTTGGAGTTAAACCAATTGAATACTGGACTTCTTGTGAGCATATTTTTATTCAATTTTTCAAAAATAATCCAAATAGAATTGTCTTTTACTCATCGTGTTACTGAAAATTATTTTGCCAAAAGTCAATAAACTGATGTGCATTGCCATTCCATGGGAGTCATGGATTCAGATGTGTACGCTCATTTTTTTTCTTACTTTCTAGGAAGAATTGCATAGTATTACACACTGGGATGAGGAGTTACCGTACAAGTAATTATGGTGTCATATTCTTTTATTATGACCATGATGTGCTATTTATCTTTCGTTGGCGTGTAGTTGTATTCCTATTCTTACTTTCAACTTCTGTTAAAATTTGGAGCTCCAAATGTTTGTAAATTGCAGCTTGGTGATGAAATAGTTGACATTGCACAAATAGAGGAACAAGCTGCACAGTTGGAAAGGGATCTGATTGTGAAAGAAAGGGAAACACTCAATGTTCTCAAGGAACTGGAAACCACTAAGAATATTATCGAAGATCTGAAATCAAAGCTGCAGAAAGAAGCATATGAAATCGAAGCAACCCTCGCTGCAAATTCAGGTGATACCAAGGTGAACTCTGCTTCTGCTGGCATATTTGAAAAGGAAAGTCGTGAAAGCAGCTTGAATGTTCATCAGGATAGGATTGGCTGTTTGGACATGTATCCTTCCTTGGCTCCAGGCTTCATCCTACTGGAACTGAAACAGGCTAAACTAAACTTAATGAGGACTTCTAATGATCTTGCAGATATTCAAGCTACAGTTAACCTATATAACAGGAAAATCGAGAAAGAGAGAACGTCGCTTCAGAAGACTCGTCAAAGGTTGTCTACAAGTACCTCAAAGGTTTCGTCTCTCGAGGAAGAATTAATCCTTGCAAAACAGAAACTACAGCTGGTAAAAGACACTGAGGACCTCGGTAGATCTCATGATCCCTTGGATGTCGCAAGAGAGCTAGAAAAGCTAAGTTATGAGGCAGAACAATTTAAGAAAGTGGGAGAAGCTGCAAGATTAGAAGTTTTAAGGGCAACGTTTAAGATTGAACAGACAAAAACTAGGATTAAAACTGCTGAGACAAGGTTGGTAGCTGCTAAAAAAATCAAGTCAGCAGCAAAAGCTTCTGAAGCTGTGGTTCTTGCAGAAATCAGAGCAATATCAAATGGTGAAAATTCATATGCATATTCGAAGCAGAAGTCAGGAAGTGTAACTCTTACTCTTGAGGAATACTCAACCCTAATTTCCCGAGCTCGAGAAGTGGAGGAAGCTTGTAAAGGGAGGCTAATGGATGCAGAAGTTCTAGTCAATGAAGCTAATGTGTCTAAAACAGAAATCTTGAAAAAGGTTGAAGAGGCGACTGAAGAAGTTAAAATTACCAAAGAGGTCTTGGAAGAATCGTTGAATAGAGTGGAGGCGGCAAATAAAGCTAAATTGGCAGTTGAAGAGGCACTCCGGAAATGGAGATCTGAGCGTGGTAAGAAAAGACGTTCTGTACATAACTCTATGAGGGGGGAGCAAAACGAAGCTTAGCGAGATTTTAAGGCCGACCGCTACATAAGCCGCTGGCGAAGAAAGCTCTTCGAGCTTCTCCCTTCATCCTTGCTAAGCCTAGGTCCCAGTAAGAATTCTTGTCAATCTCACCTTCAGAAAGATCCTTCGCTGCTTTACGTAAGTGATCTGGATTTGATTGGTAACAAGTCAAAACCATTTTTGAAGCCGAGTCTATCCATCAGGCAAATATTGAGCCAGAAACTGCTTCTAAAAGAAGTATATGAGAATGGGTGAAGGCAGAATAGAACAAAAAGCAAGTCTCCCTGGATCAAATGCCTAGCAAACCTAATACTGATCCACCTTTTGTTAAGAGAACTAGGAAGGAAAATGCTGACGAGCAACTCTGCGGAAAGAGAGAGAAGTTTGGTTTTGCTTGGATCTCACTATTTGTGATAATGCAAAGTAAGAAGAAGAAGAAGAAGAAGAAGAAGAAGAAGAAGAATCAAACGTTTGGAGATGTATAGATAAACCTGTTGGATCGTGGAGTTTCTTTTTCATTAATCCCCACTATGATTTTGTAACAGCTTTATTAGGCACGCATGTTTAGTTTAGAGATATTTCGCCACCATTGGTCTCTTAGATTTAGCTCTTATACATGAGCATGGCATGGTGTCACGGACCGTAGCTTTACTTAAGCCCCGTGATCCTATCGCAGCCGCAGTTTGCCCAACTTCGAACGCACATTGTAAATATTTCATTTAATTGTAAAATAGTTGGAAATTAGAAAATTTAGTATAAGAATATGTTTGGTAGGGCTTAAAATCCAATTAAAATTGAAATATAGTCGTTATTGGATCCCACTCGTCTAATAAAAGTCAATAATAACCGTTAGTTTTTCAATTTTAATTCGATTTTAATCTCTACCGAACACGCCCTAATTCTAGAGACTTTAAACGTCTACTCCCATCAAATGGGTTTTCGTTGCTAAGTCTATTATATAGGGTATTAATCTTTCAAACATTTTCAAGCTTTCTAGTGTTCGCCCCTTGCTCTAGCCATTGTAATTTCCTACTTTTGTGTATTGTAATGTTCACGAGAAGTGGAGGAAGCTTGTAAAGGGAGGCTAATGGATGCAGAAGTTCTAGTCAATGAAGCTAATGTGTCTAAAACAGAAATCTTGAAAAAGGTTGAAGAGGCGACTGAAGAAGTTAAAATTACCAAAAAGGTCTTGGAAGAATCGTTGAATAGAGTGGAGGCGGCAAATAAAGCTAAATTGACAGTTGAAGAGGCACTCCGGAAATGGAGATCTGAGCGTGGTAAGAAAAGACGTTCTGTACATCACTCTATGAGGGGGGAGCAAAACGAAGCTTAGCGAGATTTTAAGGCCGACCGCTACATAAGCCGCTGGTGAAGAAAGCTCTTCGAGCTTCTCCCTTCATCGTTGCTAAGCCAAGGTCCCAGTAAGAATTCTTGTCAATCTCACTGTCAGAAAGATTCTTCGTTGCTTTACGTAAGTGATCTGGATTTGGTTGGTAACAAGTCAAAACCAGTTTTGAAGCCGAGTCTATCCATCAGGCAAATATTGAGCCAGAAACTGCTTCTAAAAGAAGTATATGAGAATGGGATGCAGGCAGAATAGAACAAAAAGCAAGTCTCCCTGGATCAAATGCCTAGAAAACCTAATACTGATCCACTTTTTGTTAAGAGAACTAGGAAGGAAAATGCTGACGAGCAACTCTGCGGAAAGAGAGAGAAGTTTGGTTTTGCTTGGATATCACTATTTGTGATAATGCAAAGTAAGAAGAAGAAGAAGAAGAATCAAAAGGGAACTTCAACGTTTGGAGATGTATAGATAAACCTGTTGGATCGTGGAGTTTCTTTTTCATTAATCCCCACTATGATTTTGTGACTGCTTTATTTGGCACGCATGTTTAGTTTAGAGATATTTCGCCACCATTGGTCTCTTAGATTTAGCTCTTATACATGAGCATGAGCATGGCATGGTGTCACGGACCGCAGCTTTACTTAAGCCCCGTGACTCTATCGCAGCCGCAGTTTGCCCAACTTCGGACGTACATTGTAAATATTTCATTTAATTGTAAAATAGTTGGAAATTAGAAAATTTAGTATAATTCTAGAGATTTTAAACGTTTACTCCCATTAGATGGGTTTTTGTTGCTAAGTCTATTATAGGGTGTATTAGTCTTTCAAACATTTTCAAGCTTTCTAGTGTTCGCCATCTGCATTAGCTATTGTAATTTTCTGCTTTCGTCTATTGTAATGTTCAGCTTTCAAGTAATCAATGATCAAGTTTCTTTTAATGCATTTCAATTTCATGTTGTAAGTTTTCTTTAAATTGTGATTAAATTTCCTTTTTTCCCGAAATGATCGAGAGAAGGAGGAAGGAGTCTAGCGGAGCAGACTACTATCGCACGGTGTCCCTTTCTGTGTTCAGAAGAAAGGTAACTCGTGAAATTTGGTATTAGAGATGCGGCTCAAGACCCTTGATAAGAAAGCTATGGATCCAATGGAATCGAACACCAAGGAGGTGGTAGATTCTCAAAAGAGGAACGCGAAACAGTGCGTGGATGCGCTTGAGATGACAACTGCTAGGTTGTGCTATGTTGTGGAGAGTATCGACGAAAGAGTTGAGGCTGTAGAGGCAGAGATTCGTGAGTTAAACACCCAACTGGGTGAAAGTCGAATGGCTTGCACAGCAATAACTGAAGTTGTTGCTATCATACTTGATCTGCAAGATGAGATGGGAGCTTTGAGAGCTTAATTACTAGTGCTTCAACGCGCGGTTGGCAATGGGCAAGCCATCGCACAAAAGTCTGTGCATAGATTCAAAATTTCAGAACCGTGTACCTACGGAGGGGCATGCGATGCTAAAGAAGTTGAGAACTTCTTGTTCGATATGGAATAATACTTTCTTGCGGCTTTGATTCAAGACGAAGCGAGAAATGTTACAACTTCTATCATGTATCTAGGTGGAGATGTAAAACTATGGTGGCGGACGAAGTATGCTGATATTCAAGCCAACAAGATCCGAATAGATTCTTGGGATCTTCTCAAGGAAGCAATCGAATCTCAGTTTTTTCCAGAGAATGTGGAATATGAAGCACGTCGGGCCTTACGAGAGCTGAAACACACAAGCTCCATCAGGAAGTATGTGAAAGCCTTTTCAGGACATATGCTGAATATTCGAGATATGTCGAAAAATGATAAGCTGTTCACCTTCATGGAAGGGTTGGAACCGTGGACACGTACGGAACTTCAGATACAAAAGGTCACTGATTTAAGTGCAGCTATGGAAGCTGTCAAATGTTTGAGTGATTATCAATCGAAATCGAGAGATGATTGACCTTCGGGAAATAGTCTATTGGACGTGGAAATAGACCTCATAGACCCAGCTCGAACTCAAATGGGGGAGAGTATTACTCTCAGAATCGGGGAGGAGCATATCAAGGCAACCGTTAGGGTAACAACTGGAACCAAGGAAAAGAAAATGAGGGCAGATCTGATGTCAGTCCTAAATTGAAGTGCTTTTTATGTGAAGGACGAGTGTCTTCAGAAATGGATGGTGAATGCATATTACCAACTAGCAAGTGGCGAGACCAAATCAAAGCAATGTACCTCACAATCTAGCTGTTATGGTGAGATTGACTCCGAAGAAGATGAGGATGTAGTTGGTGCCACAATCTAGCTGTTATGGTGAGATCAACTCCGAAGAAGATGAGGATGTAGTTGGTGCATTCTCACATCGGTGCAATACACTATTGCATCGAGTTGCTAATAGGGAAGATGGTTCCTCGAAAGAGCTGAAGATGGAAGATTCGAAGGCTCACAATCGTAGGATGAAATGCCTAATGTACATTGATGTGAAGATCAATGGGAAGCCAATCGGGGCTATGATAGATACCGGTGCTACCCACAACTACCTCGCAAGTGTCGAAGTAGAACAGCTCAGACTTACTGTAAAAAGAGATAAGGGGAAAGTTAAAGCAATTAACTCCGCTGCTCAACCAATAGCGAGAGTAGCGAAATCTGTGTCGATCAAAATAGGTCCCTTCGAAGGAAGGACGAACTTGTCGACAGTTCAGATGGATGATTTCAAGCTCATTCTGGGATTGGAATTTCTTTGGGATACAAGAACAGCAGTGTTGCCACATTCTACTCATTAATAATGATGGGTAGTAAACCATGCATTATCCCCACACAAGTTTGGAAAACAAGCGAGAAGGGTATCTCGGCCATGCAATATAGTAAGGGTTTCAAGAGGAATGAACCCTCGTTTTTGTGCACTCTTCGATTAGAAGAGATCGAAGAGGCGACTGGTTCGATTCCAAAACTTATCAGAAAGCTTGTTAAGGAATTTGAGGACATCAAACCGAACGAGTTACCAAAGAATTTGCCACCAATGAGGGCAATTGATAGTAAGATGGAACTTGTTTCGGGTGCCAAACCTCCCACCAAGGCACCATCCGTATGTCTCAGCCGGAGCTTGAAGAGCCTCGAAAATAGTTGGGAGAAATGTTGGGATGTGAGACTACCGTGGAGCGCACTTTCGCACTACTACAACGTGTATACTACTAGCCTCAAAGGCAGGGCGACAATTCAAGTTATGTGAAAACTTGTCTTGGTTGTCTGCAAGATATGACAGATCATCAGAAAAAGGCAGGCTTACGGGAGCCCCTTTCCGTCCTAAACAGATCATTCGAGAGTATGTCGATGGACTAAATTAGTGGATTGCCAAAAGTTGGAGGCTTTGGCACTATTATCGCCGTGATAAACGGCTTATCTAAATAGACAACTTTCACCACAGCGCCCAAGTATGTATCAGCTGAAAAGACAGCTCAACTCTTCTTCAAAGATATTGTTAAATATTGGGGACTACCTAAGAACATCGTCAGTGATCGGGATTCTCGATTTACTGGCATACTTTGGACCGAGTCGTTCAAACTTCTTGGTTCAACTTTGAGCATGGGTTTGAGTTTTCATCCACAATCTGACGGACAGATTGAGCACTTCAATGCTATGCTGAAAGATTATTTTCGGCACTTTATCTCTACTTCGCAGAAAAATTGGGTAAAACTCCTGGATGTGGCTGGATGTGTTTCAATGCTCAAAAGAGCTCTTCTCCCAATAAGAGTTCCTTCGAGATTACTACTGGCTAGCAACCATTGCTCCCTCATACTAGAGAGATTCTTGGCCATCAAACTAGTCGAGCTTCTAAGAACTACCTGCAAGAGTACTTGATCAAATGGAGCTGATGCAACAACGAGGAGAATAACTGGGCAAATGGAAAAGACCTTGAAACCTTTAAACCATCAAGCATATCATTCATTAAGGGCTTCGAGGATTTCGCCAAAACAAATGGGAGAGAATGTCATGGACCGCAGTTTTACTTAAGCCCCGTGACCCTATCGCAGCAGCAGTTTGCCCAGTTTCGGTCGCACATTGTAAATATTTCATTTAATTGTAAAATAGTTGGAAATTAGAAAATTTTATTATGATTCTAGAGACTTTAAACGTCTACTCCGGTCAGATGAGTTTTTGTTACTAAGTCTATTATAGGGGGTATTAGTCTTTCAAACATTTTCGAGCTTTCTAGTGTTCGCTCCCTGCACTAGCCATTGTAATTTCCTGTTTTCGTCTATTGTAATGTTCAACTTTCAAACAATCAATGATCATGTTTATTTCAATGCATTTCAATTTCATGTTGTAAGCTTTCTTTAAATTGTGATCAAATTTCATTTCGTCCCGTAACAACCGAGAGAAGGTTGAAGATAGTCTAGCGGAGCAGACTACTGCCGCACAGTGTCCATTTCCGTGCTCAGAAGAAAGGTAACCCGTGAAACATGGAGTAGTGCCCTACTTCTTTTTCTTTTACTATTTTGCCTTTTTTTTTCTTTCAGCACGTATGTGTGACACTGAAACTTAGAGCCTAAGAGCATTTCCAAGAGACTCTTTAAACATAGGATACTCTCTATTTTAAAGAGTCAATATTTAAAATCATGCTCCAATAGACTCTTTAAATTAACATTTTAATTTAGAGAGTGAGTTCAAACTCACCAAATTTGGAGAGTCAAACTCACAGTCTATAATTCAATGCATTCAAAGTGTTTTAATTTTCAATGTAGGAAAACGATAAAATAATTTAAAGAAAAGCTAGTTAAAATAACAGATAAAGAAAAATAATAAATATTTTTTTTGAGTAGTAAAATTAAGTGTTAAATATAAAGAGCTTGTTGGAGTGTTTCAAAGTTTTAACTCTCTAAATTTATAGATGCTCTTCAAATGATAGAATATGCTCTTTAAAAATAGAGTCTCTTGGAGATGCTCTAAATGGTTTAGATAAAAATTAGATTTTGATAAAAATTGGTGGAATATGTGGTTGAAAAGTTGAAAATCTTGTGAAATGTGTGGTTAAAATTAATTATTGACTTTGACTTAAATTTTAATCAAAATTACTAGCTAAACAAAATTGATGTTTGCTGAAAGTTGCGATCTTGTCCCCTGCTATTTGTTCGTCGTAATGAGATTTCGATAATGTAGACTGAGTTTGATTGGGAAAGATGGGCAGAAGTCTAAGTTGACATGGTAGATCGGATTACATGTGAATCCGTCACGAACCGC